TACTCAATGTAAAGTAAGGAAATCTTATGGAATGGTCCATATTTAACTACGGTAATATGTTCAGTGAAGTTAAGGGCAGAGTGAGCAATCAGTTCTTAAATTGCAGTGGATAATGAGAATGCAGGCTGAACTCTGAACCTTGGTTGTGCCTCACTGTGCCTTTGCAGGCTGTGCTGAAGAATTACCGATATGTTTCTACAGAGAAGCATAACTATGTTTTCTCAACCACAAAATGTTCTTTTCTGCAGTGCCCTGATTATACATAATCTGTAGCTCTAATACTTCTGTTACTTACAGGCTTAACTGGAAAGATGGTAATAAAAAGGAAGAGGGAAGGTGGTGAAAATTGGTATGACCTGAGGCACGGTCTTCATTACGTCTTGGTGGGCAACAGCATAGAATGGGAAACTCTTGCAGCCTGGTTGCAGATAAAGGTGTGGAGTCTATTTACAATTGGTGGGGAGGCGAAAATGTGGTGCCGTTTTTGCCTCCCCACCAGTTAGCAGCAAGCCGTGGGGCCGCTGGGGCCCCTTGGCCAATTGGCGGTAGAAGGCAAAAATGGCACCATATTTAAAACTGCGGTTTTCACCTCCCTGCTGTTTTTGTTTGCTTGGGGTTTTTTTGCTTTTATACTAGTGAGCAGGGCCCCTCTACCAGTCAGTGATGGGGAGGGGCACGTGGGAAAACTTGCAAAATTAAAGGAGCCGCAGCACAGCCCACTCCACCATGTAATGATAAGTAGGTACAGGTACCTGCATAATGCAATTGTTTTCCTTACAGATCAGTTCTATTCTCCCCCTTCCCCTCAAGCCAGAATGTCCTATCACTATTTCCAGGGTGGTATTTTTCCCCCCTTCTCATTTCTTCAGAGAGAGTTTCTTTTGAGCTTCAACTGTGTCCTTTTTGTTCGTCTGAAATGCATAGATTCATAGATGCTAGGGTCAGAACGGACCTCAACAGATCATTGAGTCTGACCCCCTGCCTGGGCAGGAAAGAGGGCAGGGGTCAGATGACCCCAGCCAGATGCCTATCCAGCCTTCTCTTGCAGACCCCCAAGTAGAGGAGAGCACCACCTCCCTTGGAAGCCCATTCCACATTTTTGGCCACTCTTACCATGAAGTTTTTCCTGATGTCTAGCCTAAATCTGCTCTGTCAGTTTACGACCATTGTTTTTTGTTACCCCAAGAGGTGCACCCTTCCTGTATAAGTTTTGGTTTCCATTTAGAATGCTTGCTTTCCATCTCCCAGTCCTTTTATCATGTCTGAAGGAACATCTCATTCTGGAGATGGCTTCAGAATATGGGTTCATGTCGCTATCTGATGTGGTATATGAGGACCAAAAGCACTTGGCACTTGTTCAACAACAATGGGAAGCTAGAAAACTATGAGAGCAGTTGCAGTATAGCTGCAACATGAGGGAAGAGGAAGAAGTCAAACACTCTTAGATCCCCTGATTAAACCAGGCCTGGAGTACTTAAACTCTTATCCTTTTCTCACCTGTTAATAGCAGCTGTAGATAATAGCTTGTAAATTCTTGCAAAAAGCAGTGTCTGAGAAATATTTACTTAGTCCTTATCCCCCTGGCTGACCAGTCTGCTTACATATAAATGGCCCAGTATGTGATTTTTGGTTCTTATTTTGTCACCATCTGTATAAAAACTCCTTTTATTTGTGCATTAAACAGTTGTGATAGCAGCTGACCATTGAGCTTCTGCTATTGCATGCACACTTTCTCCTGGCAAAATTTGACCTGTGTTTTCTTGGGGTGGTGAGGTGTATGGTAGGTTTTGGATCCTGCAGGGCTCAATATTGGGCCCTGTTTCATGCAGAAACAAAAGGCACCTTTTGAGCAGCCACTTCATTTGTACCAGAGGGGCAGAGTGGTGATCTGTGGTCTCTCTTCTTTTAAAGTTCTAGGGTGATGCATTTGGTATCCTGGATTCAGGAGACCAAGAAGTCTCTTAAAGAGGAGGATAGAGACCTAGAGTTTAATGTGATTATAATCAGTATGACATGCTTATGGTAACCTGACTTCTTCAGAAAAGGCATGCTGTGTTTTTTGCATACAGACAATTTCCTGATGACTGGCTGACTGGGCTACAAGATCATTTGACCCAGAATAAACGGTTCTCATTTACGACTCGGTCAGCTCTTTCTGCTTTTTGGACAATTGTTTTAGAAGTCATGAGTCTGGGGAAAAATGTTCCATGAAAAGGACTGGGCTCAACAAGTCTGGATTCAACATAAACTAAACGTAGCATTTTTCTTATTGGTTTTCTCCAAAACATAAGACAATAGTATGACACTTCACACTTGCATGTATATTTTTCCACACTCTATAAAATGTGATTAATAAAGATAGCTCCCCAAACTTTGGCACGGAGCCTTAAAACAAACACGTGGGGTGGAATAAGACAAAGAATGTGTTGGTGAAACAATACTTTCCACTGACACTTTTTGCATTGCAGGCTGCAATGCACCTTTAATAATACTCGTTCCATACAGCTTTGTATGATACTGATCAAAATTTATTGCTAGTGGTTTCCTGAAGAACTATTTGGATAGGCTATGCCTCAGTGAAACAGCTTTCATATGTCCTGTAACAAATCCAAGAGTGTAATAGAATAGGTCATTTGTCTTGAGTCTTTAACATGAGATGATTTTTTCATTGAGCTTTTTATAGGGAGAAAAAAAAATGACTGACTTGCTTTGGGATTCAGGTTCCACATTTAGTTAAATATACTGCTCTGGAGAGGGATACCAGAGGTGTACTGCAGTTGTGAACTGTTTTCTCTCTGCCTTTTTTAATGAGGCAAACCAGTGTCTTCTGCAGATTCCCCCCTTGTTCGTTGTGCAGTGATGTCCATTAGAACTTCTGGTCCAATGGGTAAGATTTAAGTTTTTCAACTGCAGACTGAGTTATACTTCTTAGGGCTACTACATAGAATTATATGCACTTTAAAAATATTTATTAGATCCAAAATCAAAGATGACAGAATGCAAAAGGACTCCCCCAACAATTAAATTCTATACCTAGAAATTTCATAAATTTGTCTTTTTTTTTTTTTTTAATGCCCCCTCTTAAATTTATTTAAATTTTTTTTTTTTTTTTTTTTTTAAGCCCCCCCCCCCCCCCCCCCCAAAAGGCAAGCAGCAGTGGGAGGGAGCAGGCAGCAAGGGAATTAAGTGGCCTGACCCTTGCCCCCTGTTGTCCATTTTTTTGCCCACTCTCCCCTTCCTGCACCTGCCTTGACCTCTGGCACTTGCCCCCCTACTTCCCCCCCCACCCCCTTCTTGGGGATTTATTAGCAATTTTCAAATACCTGGAGGGTGATTGCCAAGGATCCAGGTTTTCCATTTGCCATGGTCAAATGCAGATTTTCTCCTTTTAAAGTAGAAAAATATGGGAAATAGCAGGTTTTCCCTTGCAGGCTGGCAGAGTTCCAGCCTAAAAGGGCCTGGCAGGATTGCAGTCAGGCAGGGGGTGCCACATGCATGTGCGTGTACACATGCATGTGGCAGCCAGGCAGCATGAGAGCAGCTCCCCATAGGTAAACCTGGGGTGGGGAGAGAGGGATTGAGGCCCCCCCGTAGTAAAGGAGGGAGTTGGGCTGGGGTTAGAGCTGGGGCTGCAGCCCAGCCAGGGTGTTATATGGGGGCTTGGGGCCCAGGGCCTAAATGCACAGCTGCAGGGCCTGGGGGGAGAGCAGGATGGAGCTGTGGGCAGCTTGTCCAGGGGATGGCAGGGGGGCATGTGCCTCCCCAAGTTTGTGCGCAAGGCAGGGGCAGATGCAGGCTGCTTGCTGCAGGCTCTCAGGGCTCACACCCAGCAGCACTGGGTGTGGCAGCGCAGAATTTTGCCTGCTGCTGCTGAGTGAGCAGGGGATATCTCACCATGGCGGTGTTTGTGGGTCGGGAGTGAGGTACACCAGCAGCTCCCAGGGGGCTGGGGGTGAGTGGCAATAGCATGTGCAGCGCATTGGCATATCAGGGCTCTTCAGCCCCACAGAGATGAGCTGGACCCATGTCCTGACAAGTGGAGGGGGCAGGGGGAGTTCCGATTTTCCATGATAAACCCAACATCAAATGCCAAAATATATAGGTATTTAGTTTTTATTTTATTATAGTGATTTGAGGCACTGGTAGGCTTTCAAATTGCTTTAAAACTGTAAATATATCAATAAAACATTGCATTGAACTGATACTTATAGTGGCACTTCACTTTAATTTCAGTAAAACACAGATTTTGGGGGGGGGGCGGGTTATAATTAGAGAATTTGCAAATTTTTTTTAAACAGAGAAAGCCAGGATCCCTGGTGATTTACACAGAGGATGTAGATGGGCTTTTCTTTGTCGCCATAAGGGACAGGACTAAGAAAAATGGCTTCAAACCTCAGCAGAAGAAATTTAGGCTAGATGTTAGGAGGGTGGTCAAGCATTGGAACAGGTTACCTAGAGAAGTTGTGGAATCTCCATTTGTTGGCTGGGAGATTGTCAGGGATGATCCAGCCTTGAGCTGGACTAGATGACCGTATGAGGTTCCTTCCAGCCCTGTTTTCCTTTGATCCTAAATATGTTTCTGAATTAGAGTTCCAATTCCATGTACATCTTTCCATTTTCCTATTTTTTGTTTTTTAAAAGAGATTTCTGTAGGTTTCTGATGTTACTGAGAAAAGTAGGAAACACTGAAGTGTAGTGTGACACCGAAGGTAAATGCCCCCTTTGAAATATTCCATTTTTATGCATAGGGTACAATTAAGGATGTGTTCATGTCAGTGATCCATGGAAAACTGATGCACAGTAATGACTCCTTTTGGTAATTATTTTGGTCTGCAGTGTTGATAAGCACTGAGAGGTTTCCTACTATTGGCAGGTATTTTACTAACTTCTTTGATTTTTCTTGTTGCAGAAGTTACTTGTGCATATAACTGGGTAATGGTATTCTAATTACAATATACAGTGCAAGCAACAAAAACTTGTAATCTTCAATGTATTTGTAGGTGGATGGAAGTCTGTTTGCGTGAAGAACTGCCCCCCACTACTGAGCTGGAAGAAGGGTTAAGAAATGGAGTTTACCTTGCCAAACTAGCCAAATTCTTTGCCCCAAATCTGGTTTCGGAGAAGAAAATCTATGATGTGGAACAGACTCGTTATCAGGTAACTAATGTTTAATTGGGACTGGCTTAAAACTAATAGTTAAAGGTCAATATCTGCTGCTCTTAGTGCTATCATGCTTAGTCCAATTAAAGGGCTTTACAGAAAGGTAGTGCATACTTTTTTCCTTGTATCTTAATATTTTTCCTATGTTAGTTGAATGTATTGTGTCCTAATACACAAACTAGATTATGGAATTCTTGTTTTCATTTACTTTTTAGGTAACCGGTTCTGTGTTGTATCAACAGTCTTACCTCTTTCTCTTGTTCCCTATAACTTCCTTTAGTTGTATAAAAGTGTAGTCACCAAATGAGGAACAAACTTTAGTGCTGAAAAGCAGGGAGAGGGAAGTATAATAAAAATAGAAATAAATATTTTGTAGAAAAAACATGATAGTTGTTCACAGTGTTGACTCCAAGGAAAACCTGTTCTCTTAAGAAAAAGGGTCGCCATTTTTTTTGAATTACAGCCCAGTAGGAATGGCAGGAGGCACAACTGTTGGGAATCGGGGATCAAATTTCATTGTGCCATTTAAATAAATGTGCCAGAAGCCATGGGCTCCTTTTCCTACTGGATTGTAACTCGACAAATGGTAATCCCTTCTGTTCTTAAGGGAACAGGTTTTCCCTGGAGCTAAAGTTGTGGACAGCTACCATGTTGTTGTTTTCTGCAAAATATTTTTATTTTTATTATATAGTCATCTCCTCACTTTTGAGTGCTACATTTTGTACCTTCTGAGACACCAGGATTGCCCAGTTGCCTGTACATTAAGTTCTGGAGCGCTGGGACCCTGGCATCAGGAAGCCTCACCCCTATCCTGGGTTCCCTGTGCCCCAAGAACTTTAAAAAATGTGTGCAGTCCAGCTTCCTGGCACTTTTGAAGTGCCTTGCCCTGCAACCCCACAGAGCAAGGCATGCAAGGCAGCTAGGTGTAGGGTTTTCCAGGCTTGTAGCTGGGGAAGTCTCTTGGCTTTCCCTGCCTGAGAACCGTGCAAACTGATCCCCACTTCTAGCATTGGGACTGATGCTAATCCCCTTCACAATGCCAGTCCTTTTCCCCAGGCTGCCGACAATCAGCTGGTCGTCAACTTTAGTATGGGTGTGCTACATGCTCAATTTATGGTGTCATACAAACAAGTCACAAAGATGTTCCGTGTATTTTATAGAATATCTTTGTGGCTGGTTTGCTACTTCATGGCATCATAAATTGGCTGTACATGTTATCACTGAGACTATATTTATGGCACAATTCGGGTGGTAATTGTGTTTTAAATATGATGTATACCAGGCACCTGTAGCCCTTTAGGAATGCACACAAACTTTGATGACATTGTTAATAGGAACTTGTTTTATAATCTTACGCTGGGAAATTACCCCCCTTATGGATTTGTGTGTTCAGGTTGATGTCTAACTCTACGTCGTAGAGCAGCAAAAACAACTGAAAAAGCAAAGTGCAGGATGTTTTGGGTGCATGGATAAGGCATTTAGGTAGCTTTGCTTTTATTTGGCTACTACAATTTTTTGTTAATTAACAAAAAGAGGCTGAATTGGAGCATGGATGCTTTAAAGGAAAATGAGTTTGATTTTTGGTTTTGGTTTCCTTTTTTTGTGGGTATAAAAATCAGTTCAAGATTTCTTTTAATTGAATCTTGATTAGAACTTGAATCATGTTTGTTTATAACCAGACTTGGAAGGTAAAACAGCATTCTCTGCCCCTCCAACCCTCTCAACTTCTAAAACTAGAGCAGGTTTTTTTGTTCTCCTCTGGGTGGTGTCCCCCCCCCCCCCCCCCAAGCCCAGTGTTTATTGCTCAGTGTTAAATTGATTGCCTTCTAACTGATGGCAGGGAGGGAGGGATCTTTATCCTGAACTCGGGGCTTAAAGTAATTGAATGTGGAACTACTTCTGTTTAAATGCACATAAGGTCAGATTCTATTCTACTTCTTACGCTGTGACTAAACCCACTTAGTAACCTCAAAGCTGTCCTATTCCACTCTGTTTAAATCCCTAAAAAATTGTTAATACGGAACATTAGATGGGGTTGTCCCCTGTACTGCTATTTTTTTTTCCTGTGGCTTAATCTTAGAGTTAGAAAATGATATGTTCCAGAAGGTGAGAAAGCAAGGCTGCATTTTTGCTCTCCAGGAATTGACAGGGTAGGGAATGAATGATCTAATAATGATCTAATGAATTTAATAGTGTGTGAAACAGGAGGGAAAAGTTCTGCAACTTTATGCTTCAATATTTCAGGGAAGTTTCCACTCTTCAAATGTTGTTTTTCTTTAAAAACAAAACAGTTTTTTGTTTTTCTGCCACATAAAATGACTATTGAAAACTTTTTTTATACTGGCATTTAGAAACCAGTCAGTTTTCAGAATAGATCCTTTTTTAACTTGGAAATAGATATTCAGGTAAAGGGCCTGTTCTGTACTTGGGAGGGGGGTGGAATGGGGAGTGCAAATATGATGATTATTACAGTAAAAATCAGTCCATTTTTAAAGATCTCAACAAAAATTATTCTCTTACTTATTTACTAAGTTACTGCATTGCATGCCTTTTTCTCATTATAGATCAACTGAGCTATTATGGATTGACAGGAAACCTGCAACAAAACATTGCTTTTGCTAACAGACCTCTCTCCTAATTACATTCAGCTTTGTGAATACAAAATAAAGCCTATTAAAAAGCAAGAAAGCATCTATAGCATCTTCCTTCTCTTGTCAGTGAGAGCTTTGAAAATAGCTGGAAATGGGATTGGGGCACAGACTGTAGATTTACAAAATTTGGCTAACAGTGAGGTGTGTTTTATGTTGCACTTGACAAGAATGCAGTTATTAACTCTGGTTTCTATTCCACATAAGGAAAATTTTTAGAACCTTTTCAGAGAGCAATGCTAAATTGTGAAGCAACAAAAATGTGTGACAGGAAAAAACGTAATTCAGAATAAGTAAACTGTTTCTTGAATTTTTTTCCACCCCCTATTAGAAATCAGGACTTCATTTTCGACACACAGATAATACTGTGCAGTGGCTAAGAGCAATGGAATCCATTGGTCTACCAAAGGTAAGCATTTAAATGATATAATGACAATTGACCCAAGGGCAAAGTTTTAAGGTTTTATTCAAATTTTCCCTTAATTTTCTTGAATAAGAATAGGTCAAAGCTGAATAGGTACCAGAAAAGCTAATCAGGAAGAAGGGTATGCTGCAAGTTGCAGTATGCTAATTTAATATGTTGCTATACATTTCTGAAGAGGATGAATTCTCTTTATTTGTATATTATGGATGTAGGTTCAGACGCTTCCCTCTTCTTCAAAATTGAAGGCTGGCAACATTGGGTACTGACAGACGTGGGTGGGGAAAAAAACACACTGTATTTACCAAAAGAAGCACGTTAATTTGACCCGGCTTTGCAGCGTCTATATAGATTGGGCACTTCAGTGGGTCTTTTTGGCACTTTTTTATAAAGCTGATACATGTCTGATCTTCTGGGCATGTGCTGGGCTCAGTGCAGGAGAATGCCGAGAATGCCGATTTTTAAAGTGCCGGGGTTTTTTGTTTTTTGGTTCCCCGCTCATGTCTGCAAGCAGCCATTGTCTATAAATCTGATTTTTGAGAACAATTTCTAAATAAGGGCCTGAATGATTAAAAAGGGTTGTGTTTTTTTGTTTCTGTCTCAGTTTTTGCTGCTTTGTTATGGATCTCCCCCTCACTCTTTTCAATTTCTCTCCCATTTTTCTTTTCTGTTTACCCTATTTCCAGTTGTCCTGAGTGTTCTTGAACAGTGGGGATCTCTACACCTCCTTCTGGTTCTGTTAGCAATTATTCTGTGTCACCCCTCCCTCCCCTTACTTTCGCTTAAATTACCTATTCTGTCTGTCGTCATCCCCCCTC